GATGGTTGTAATCATTAATCCATCAGAAGCCAAGAAGCACTGTTGTAGGCAGTAACTAACAGACCAGCAGATGTGGTTGCCTAAAAACGTAGATTGATTAGGCTGGGACATTGACAGAGGTGGATGATGGCTCAGTGGCCTGTAGGTTAAGCCTCCGCATACGAGACCGAAGGTGCTGGGTTCGATCCCCTCAACTGCGGATTGTGGATATGCACTGCTGAAGAGTCCCATATTAGGACGAAATGGTCATCCAATGTTCACAGGTTTTTCATGGTTGTCTAACAATGATTGGTTCATGATTTCAAGCAAAAAAGAACAAGAATCTCCATAACTTCATCAAGTGTAATAACTACTTGAAATATTTAAGTAGTTTACCGTGGTTTTGATTGTTTTCCAATACCAAAAATTTAATGCTAGTATTTCATCAAATAGACATGAATAAGTTAATTTTACGAAAATATTTTGCCATTATTCCTATTCAAATCCTGTGGGGGGCAGGAATCGTGGATGCGCACTGCTGAGGAGTCCCATAGCAGGACGAAACGGCCGTCCAGTGCTTCCAGGTTTCTAATGGTGGTCTAACATTGATCGATTCATGGTTTCAAAAATGTGTAACTTAACAATCTTCACAACCCCGTAACGCATATTGCTAAAATGTTTCTATTCACAAGGTGTCCTATGTGTGGAGAACTTCACTTCTAACTGAAGTTTGTTCTAATGAATTTCTGTACAAAAGTAAAGTAAAAGCTCTATAATGAAACCATCCAACCTGGAAAATGGAACTCCACCATAATTATTCACCTAAATTAAAAATGTTTCTCCAACATCAATATAATTTCATACAGAACACCACTGTCAAATCATAATCATGCAATGTATTCACAACGCATACAATCTAAAATCATCATGAAACATAAAGGTTAGAATGAATAATAACTTGGCAATTCAAATGCCACAAGAAATGCACTGTAATGTAAGAGGAAAAAAGACTACAAGATTAATACTACAAAAATGCTAAAAAAATTGTACTAAAATCATTCAAACACTGATAATTTCAAGAGTAAATGATTGTTTACAAATAGAAAGAAACGGTACAAATGACATACAATCATTATGATTGTGAAGATTTATTGTAGCACCGAAATACGCGATAAATTATAATCATTGAACAGTTTTTTATCTATTAATGTGAGAAAATGACTTGAAAAAAAAACTACTTCTACGATAAGTGCATTCAATGTTCAATGTTCAATTTTTCAAAGTTGATCAAGTTGTTTACTTTAAACTGACAAAAAAGTAGCATTACTGTTATCGTTGTTAAATGAATTAGATAATGGGAATAAATGAACACCTGAATAAATTCTCACATAAAGGACGTTTTAAATATATGGGACAAAAATGAATAAATTTTATTTTGTTTTTATTTTTAACCAAATAAAAAAATAAACTAAACTAAGTTGAAAACTGATAATAAGAATCATAAAATACAAATATATTTTTTATTAGTAATGTTCAGATTAGAAGTAAAATTTTAAAAGAGAAAAAGTTATCAATATTTGTAATAAATATCAGGTTGAGGATAAAATCGTTAAATTCTTTTTAATCTATAATTTCATGAAGAAATCATCGTTAGATTACCATCAGAAACGTGGAAGCAGTGGAATTCCGTTTCGTCCTGGTACGGGACTCATCAGCGGTGCACAGTCACGACTCTCGCTTCCGATGGGAGTCGAACCCAGTACCTTCTGTCTTGTGCGTGAATGCCTAACAAATGGACCACTATACCGACATCCAACAAACAGCATTAGTGTCTAACTTTGATCAATCTAAGAATTTTTCGCAACCTCACCCCTTTTTTCTTCGGTTGTTACTGCCTACACTCGACAGGGGTTGGAAATCACTAGTCACAGCTTCTCACTGGAATTGTGAGAATTTCCTCACGTAAATGGTCACTAGTGAGTACGCTGACTGATTTACCACTTCAATTTAAAACTACAATCTACATAACTCTTACTTACGCCTTTATCCGCAAGGGAGCATAGGCCGCCGACTAGTATTCTCCAACTTGCTTTCCGGCTAACGTTTTTTTAGCGGCTTAGTTTTGTACAGAATGGGGTTGCCAACCCCGTTCCCAACCCCTCTCCCTTATGCTGGTTTGGAGCTGGAAGTAACCCCAGAGGGACTTCAGGCTGAGTTATCATTATAACTCGGTAAAGTAAAATGGATAAAACGCCAAATATCATTAACTTTCGAATGTTTAGTCACAGAAGTAATGTTTTTTTAATGCTTGTTACATAACTTCAGGTACTTTAACATAATTAATAATATTAAGTAGGTAATCATTTTGTTTTATGTGGTTGATATATCAGAACAAAATTGATTTGGTTTGATTTAAAATAATAAAAATCTAACATTATTATTTATTTATTTCTGGACTGATTACACAGATTAGACAACTGATGTAGTTATTACATTTTTCTACCTGAAAAATCGGTTTCAGTTATCTACAAATTATTAGTAATAACAAGAAAATTCAAAATTTTCGATTAGACTTATGGAGATTAGTGTTTTTTTGCACATTAAAATCATCAATCAATCATTGTTATATCACCATTAGAATCCTGGAAGCACTGGATAGCCATTGCGTCCTGGTATGGGACTCATCAGTGGCTGTGCGCTTCCATGACTCCCGCACCTCGCAGGGTCAGCAGAGTTCAACCCTGTCGGGTGTAGGCAGTAACCATCAGAGACACATGAGTGAGGTCGAGTAAAATCTATATATTCATCAGAGTTAGACATGAAGACCGGTGGATCCCGGCCCAGTGGTCCAGGGGTTAGGCGTTCGCACGCAATACCGAAGGTCCCGGTTCTGCTGACCCCCATACCAGGACGAAACGGCCATCCAGTGATTTCAGGTTTCTAATATTGGTCTAGCAATGATTGATTGATGATTTCAATGTGAAAAAAATTCAAATCGATCTCATATCATATTCAAACCTCATTGATCTTGTCATTTAAAACTGTTACACTCAAATTTCTAGTCAATCAATGGTCATGAATTCTATCTACATTGTGTTTATCAGATACGATAAAATGATTAGTTTCATTTTCCCCCTCTCTCTCTCTCTGTTTAAAGATTTGAAAAGATACATTATAGTTGTACATACGTCTATTGGAAACTTTGGCTAAATAGTTTATATGTTCAGATAACAGAAAAGTTATCAGATAACTTGATTAGCATTTAGTTATTTCTTCAACAACAAATGCTTTTATTCAGTTCTGATGATATTAGTTTATCAGATCAATAAATAATTTGTACGATAATGAAAGTTAATTCAAAAAAAGCGCGTCACTGTCATTTGTTCAATGATCAATGTTTTAAATTTATTTATTTG